ATATATCTATTTAATGACTGCAGTAGGATATGTAGCCCCAGTTAGGTGCTAATTTATAGGATGCGTAAAGTTAGACTTGTGCTCATGGAAATGTGTGTGTCACATGTGTTTGCTAGGAGGGTATTTGGATTGATGAGGGTCTTCGGTGATTCAATAAAATGTGGGGGGAAAATGGTATAGAAATAGATAACAGAGACAGTGTGGGAGAACAGGAGGTGGCAGAGGGTAAGAGAGAGGGAACCAAGGATGGGGGAGAAAAAGCAAAACATACAGAAAACAAGAAATGGAAGATCATTTGCTAATAATAACATGTTTGTTGATGTGCTTGATTGAGACAATATACAGTGTACTCTGGATGGAAAATCTCATTTTGTATGCTGTAATGATGTACAGTGAATGAATGCAAATAAATTGGGGAAAAAAAAAACAATTTCAAAGGGCAAAAAAAAAAACATTTCAAAGGGTCATTTATTATTCAGTGGATTTATTTTGGGAAATTATTTCCTGAATGTCCTTATTATACTCAAAGCACAATTAAGTTTACCAAAATTCTGTAGGCTTACAACTTCTCAGGAATCTCTACTTTTTGAAACAAATACAACACAAGTGAGTTTTCTTAAGTCAAGAAAACTATTTTAGCATATTTCCATAGATATTAACAATGAAGAAAAAATTAATTTCCCTGAAACTTCACAGAAGGGCAGCCACTTGCTAAATAGAAAATATGAATTTTAATTTAGGAAAAGAATTTGCAAAAAGACCTGGAAGGACCTTATATCCAAAAGATTCTCCTATGACTATACCAGACATACAAGTGGATCACCCAGGAAATAAACTAGGAACAAGCTGGTATAACAATTACACTAAAAGTGTGACATCATCTAAGGATGACAATGATGATGATGATGGTAATGTAGCATTTATTGAATATACTGGGAACTGCTGGAACTACTTTATATGGGTTAATTGATTTAATCTTCACAACTGCCCCATGAAATAGATACTATTATCATCCTTGATTTACAAAAGAGGAAAGTGAGATTAAGAAAGGTTAGGTTATACCGCTAGTAAAAGGAAGACTCAGAATTTGACCTTAAGCAATGTGACTTAACTTCACTGCCTCTCAAAACTTAGCCCTAGAAAAACAATTCACCAGGGCTGGCAGGTGGCATGGTGGTTAAGGCACTAGAATCCCACATGATCAACCCTGACTCCAGTTCCAGACCTGACAGCTTGCTTTCTCACTTTCTCTCTCTCTCAGGTCAACTTTAAAAAGAATAATCATTGGGACCAGCAGTTAGCATAATGGCTATATCGCTGGACTCTCATGTAGTCAACTGCAGTTCGAGTCTCGGACCCAATGGCTTAAACTCATGTCGGGCGCATGTGCATACATGCCCAAGATCCCGAGAGAAGAATGGAGGAGAAGGGATTGTGGCGTGGCCATCCCCCCTGGGGGGTGATTTATCACTTTCTATCTCTCTATCTCTCTGTCTCTCTGGCAAGTGCACACGCCCTATAGCAAAAACCTTACCCCCCCAAAAAAAAGAATCATAATAATAAACAAAATAAAATAATTATTTTAAAAAGTTCACCAAGTAAGTATAAACATCTTGTGCTTAGAATTATACTACTATATAATGCATTATAACTGATAGAGTGCCCTCACAAATACCAACTCATTTGTGTCTCACAATAACGCTTTAGATAATAGTATCATTTCTATTTTACGAATGAAGAAGACAAAGCGAAGCTACAAAAGATTCATTGATTTAGCCAAGGTTACTTGGCTAATAAATAAAACAGTGAAGATGCCAATCCAAGTGTTCTAATGCTATGTTTTATATTATTTCTACAATAAGAAGTCTCTTTATTTGATACTCAGATCTCTTCTAAGACGGAATATTATTTACTCAATAACAATTAGAATGAAGAATTTCCAATAAGATTGATGAAAAGAATAACAAAATAAAGGCTTCCTTAATTTAACATTAAAAGAAAACAATATTACGGTGAAATAAGTTAATAAAAACAAATCCCATCTTCCATATTTTAAGATAACATACTTCTTACTAGCAAGATTATTATTTTTATTTAGCCATAATACATTCTTAATCCAAATAATATGGATAAAAAGACCTGGAAAGGTCTTATATCCAAAGGATTCTCCTTTGGCTCTACCAGGCAGAGAAGTAGATCGTCTGGGAAATAAATTAGGAATAAGCTGGTGTGACAACTGTACTGGGTGTGACATAAGAATCTGTATTGATTCACCTCTTATGAACATATTTAGAAAGGATTCATCAGCACTTGGATTATTAGGAAGATTAGGCTAGGCATATTATAAGGAAGATCGTTTCTCAAGTGGGATTTTCCTAATTCTTGATTCCCTATTGTCATTCTTTGCACAAAAGTCAACAACTATTTATTTCAGAATGCACAGGTTTTAAATCTAACACCTGTGAGAGTTGTACATGCAACGTTAGGAAGCAACATCTTTTCCAGAATACCAAATATGACATCTACAGAGCAGAAAGCAAATTAAGGAATGTTAACTCATGTGTTTACTAACACAAGAAATTTTAGGTAGCCATCCTTAAACTAACTGAGAAATCCATTAGCAAGAAACTAAAGGAAAAGGGCCTTACCTTTGCTTGTCTGGGATACAGACTCTCCTTTGGCCATGCCTATGTCCATAGCTGCAGACATTATAAAAGCATAAGAAAACTATAAGAAACAAAGGGAAGAGAAAAAATAAATAATGTGAAAATAAATATATTAGGGAAATTCTAAAATATTTGTTCTCTAAAAAGAAGGACGAGAGAAGATTTTAAAATGGAAAGTAAAATAGAAACAGAAGTTCTCAGAGAATTTCCTCCTAGAATATATTAAGGGGGAAACTTTATACAATCAACATATAACAAGGCACCATAAAACTTTAAAACAGAGGGCCAGCACATGGCGTAGCAGTTACATTGCTGGACTCATACCCGGTTGACCACAGTTCAAGTCCTGGACCTGGTGGCTTGAAAATCACGCCAGGCACGTTGCCCAAGATCCTGAGAGGAGAATGGAGAAGAAGGTATTGCAGTGTGGCCATTGCCCCTGGGAAGTGATTTCTCACCTTATGTCTCTCTGTCTCTGTCTCTCTTCAGCAAGGGCACACACCCTATGGCAAAAACCTAAAAAAATAAATTAATTAATAAAATAAAATAAAAAGAAGGGAAAGTAAAGATGGTAAAACCTCTTTGAGTAGTGCTGAGACATATTCCCCGTAAATATGTTGCTGGATTCTATCTCTTTCTCTTTCTTTGTGTTTCAAGAGCTGTAGCTCACGCTGCAGATACTGCTTGCAAAGCCCATCGTTCTTTGTAGCTCTGTTTTACCAAACAGGCTCAAGGGGCTGTTCTCATGAAATCCTATCTGACTGCCAGCATCCATTTACTTTCTCTGACATTCTTACGCTAAAAATTGCCTTGAAACTTTCAGTATTTCCTCTGTAATGCAAATAGATAGAAGTAGTTTTAACATGATATTTTGACACTTAACTCAAAAATGACCTTTTATGGTTTTAGTAAAGTTACTTTAAAATCTAACACAAAAAAAAATGTATCATTGAAATATGCATGCTGAGATAAAGAAAAATTTTTCTTCTCAAAAATAGTTAGAAACACGCACATACCAGGGGACCCTTTTTGCTCACCGGAAAATACGATAAAACTGTTGTGATAAAATTGGAATGGAAAGACTCTGGGAGAAAACATGGGCGCCCCAATACAGGAAGACAGCCACTCTATTCTACTACGCGAGTACATGAGTGCTTAGGATGACACGCACCTGGCTGGTTTAACAGAAGGAAATGGGTTTTCACTTTAACGGTTTAGAAATAAACACTTTCCGATGTCAGCTCTCACTTTGTTTGCCTGCCTCAGGCTTCCCCAGCCAGCCATAAGTGTCTCCCAATGCCTCCACCCTCCTCCTCAGGCTCTGTCCTGCTCTGTGTCTGAGTTACGTCTGACTGAAGTAAGAAATACCTAAACTGCTTCAACGCACGCTCAGTAGTTCTTACCACTGGTCATTCACCGCACTGAGGTGGAAAAGCAGGTGGAAAGAGGACAGTAAACGCTGACCAATTGGTTTCCATGTTGTTTCCTGACCTTTGCCCTTCCCTTGTGATAAACAGGGCTATGATAAAGTTTCTGAGACTGCCTTGCCTTGTAAGTGACCAATCAGAATTAATGAGTTCTCGTTCCTCTTTTTCCTCCTAAGCATGCTAAGCCATGACCTGTTAGCATCCCTCAACAGAAATCATGACCCTACATCCTGATTGGTTATGCCTCCCCCCACCCACAAAGGCATCAATTGACTGCTTCTTACAGGCCTAATCTCTTAAGTTGAATTACCAACTCTGGTTCTTACTGCTATACTTGGTAAATCTGTGGGTCCCCTCTGGCTTTGCCTGGATAACACAAGAGATTTTACTCAAAGTATAACTGGAGATCACTGAAAACTTGAATATCAACACAATGTCCTTTAAACTTTCCCTAAAGCTTACACAACAGTAATTATAAGAAAACACCAATTTTGAGATGTGTTTTAAGACTTTTCTTAAGAGAGATTTTGGCTATAGGGCATGTACACTCACCAGAAAGAGACGGAGAGACAGAAAGGAAGAAATCACCTCCCCTGGGCAGGGTGGCCATGCTGCAATCCCTTTCCCTCCATTCTCCTCTTGGGATCTTAGGCACACACGCACATGCACCTGGTGTGAGTTTTAAGCCACAGGATCCAGGACTTGAACTGTGGTCGACTACATGGGAATCCAGTGACACAACCTTTACGCCACTTGCTGGTCCCAAGAAAAGATTTTTTTTTTTTAAGTTTGTTTTTTCTATGAGAGAGAAAAAGGCATAGAGAGAGACAGGCAGAGAGACAGTCACCCCTGACAGGGTCCTCATGTGGGGATCTACCTTAAGTCTCAGCCAGCACAGATTAGGGGCATGCCTGTGTGCCTGGCATACTCAGAAATGACATCGAGTGTCAACCTCACCCTTTCCATCTTGTGTAAGCTATCTAGCCAGAATGACTCATTGGTAAGCAGGGCCAGGAATAAGATGAAAAGAGCAAGACACTCACCTCAGCACAAACGTAAAGGGGTGCCAAAACAATTACAGCAACCCTGGTAAGAAATCTCTAAATGCAAGGTTTTAAGCAATCGAAATGCATGCAGCAAATCTATCAGGTCATCAGAAAAGTAATGACATATTTTTCTGTTTTTCTATGCAAAACTGCATCATGACTTTTCTGATGACCCAATATGATGAACAAAATACTGAAATTTATAAGTCAGTATTAGCAGGGACCAGGAGTTAGTATAATGGCTATGTCGCTGAACTCTCAAGTAGTCGACCACGGTTTGAGTCCTGGACCCGGTGGCTTAAACTTACACTGGGCATGTGTGTGTATGTGCCCAAGATCCTAAGAGGAGAATGGAGGAGAAGGGATTGTGACGTGGCTATCGCCCCTGGAGGGTGATTTATTGCTTTCTGTCTCTCTGTCTCTCTGGCGAGCACATGCACCCTATAGTAAAAACCTCTTAAAAAAAAAAAAAGTCAGTACTACTGATTTTTCATTTGGTGTAGGTTCTACGTGGCAAAGTGATGTTAGTAATTTTATCCTTAGTTACAGTTTGGAACTTTGTTCATTGTGGATTTTGTGCCTGAGATAAGTGCCTTGATATCTAAGATTCAGACATTAGAATTACCAGACATAATGGGACCAGCAGATGGCATAATGGTTGGGTTGCTGAACACCCAGGTCATTACCCACAATTTGAGTCCCAGACCCGGTGGCTTAAAACTCACGCCAGGTACATGAGTTTTATGCCTGAAATTCCAAGAGGAGAATGAAGGAAAGGGATTGCAGTGTGGCCATCCCTTCTGGAGGGGTGATTTCTCGCTTTCTGTCTCTCCATCCCTCTGTCTCTCTGTCTCACCCTATAGCAAAAATCTCTCTCTAAAAAGAAAAAAAAAAAAGGAATTAGGGGCCAGCAGGTGGTGTGGTGGTTAAGGGTGCTGGACTCCAACATGGCCAACCACGGTTCAAGTCCTGGACCTGGAGGCTTACTTTCTCACTTTCCTTCTCTCTCTCTCTCTCACTCTGTCCCTCTTTAGTGAAATGAAATAAATAAAGTTAAATACAATAATTCTTTTAAAAAAAAAGGAATTAACAGATATAAATGATAAAACTATGCCTACTATACTTTAGAAAATAAATATCATATTTTTTTAAAAAATTGGCAAGGATAGGAAACTACAAAAGTGAAAAAGAAATCTGAATGGAAATAAAATGAAATTTACAGAAATGAAAAACAAAACTAGAAATTTAGGGCTCATTGTACTGCTGCAGCAACAGATCAGACCCAGAAAAAGAAAATTAGTGAAGTGGAAGAGGTCAGAAGAAACTAGTCAGGAATCAGCAGTAGGAAAGAAAGGGTTAAAAAGACGGGACAGTGACACGGAAGTGCTGCAGTTCTCTGCAAGACTGACCCACTGCAAAGGTTCCCGGTTCATGTCTGGAGGCCTCCCTGGACACAGCAGGCATGCACATGCCAACAATCTCAGGCTGGTTGAGGCTGGGGGCAGATTATGGTATGAGGACCCTGTTGGGGGTGCCTATCTCTTGAATTCTCTCTCTCTCTCTGTCTCTCTTGCTCATAGAAGAAAGAAGAAAGAAGTGTTGAAGAATGAAAACAGGTCTGAAAATCTGATACATGTCTATTCCGAGCTCCAGAAGGAGAGAAGAAAGAATATGAACAGAAGCAATCCTATTTTTCATTAATGATAACTTGGAAACTTTCTTTAAATTTGCTTAATCCAGACACATTTGTAGTTTTTTTGGTTTTTGGTTTTTGGTCTTTGGCTTTTGTAAAGAGGTTTTTGCTATAGGGTGTGTGTGCTCGCCAGACAGAAAGACAGAGACAGAAAGCAAGAAATCACCTCCCCAGAGGGGATGGCCATGCCACAATCCCTTCTTCTCCATTCTCCTCTCAGGATAGACAGAGACAGAAAGCAAGAAATCACCTCCCCAGGGGGAATGGCCATGCCACAATCCCTTCTTCTCCATTTTCCTCTCAGGATCTTGGGCACACAAGCACACACACTGGCGTGAGTTTAAGCTACCAGGTACAGAACTCGAACCACGGTCAACTACATGAGAGTCCAGTGACATGGCCATTATGCCAACTGCTGGTCCCAGCATTTCAAGGGACCAGTTGGTAGCACAGTGATAATGTCACTGACTCACATGGGGAAGGTCCTGGGTTTGCATCACAGGACCTTCCTAAGCCCACAATGAGATAGCATTTCATACCCATTAGGATGGCATTATTCATTCATTCATTCATTCATTCATTCATTTATTTGAGCGACTTTTGCAATAGGGCTTGCTAGAGAGACAGAAAGTGAGAAATCACCCCCCCACAGGGGATGGCCATGCCACAACCCCTTCTCCTCTATTCTCCTTCCAGGATATTGGGCACATGCACAAGTATCCAGCATGAGTTTCCAGTCACTGGGCCCAGGACTCGAACTGTGGTTGGCCATGTGGGAGTCCAATGATGTAACCATTATGCCATCTGCTGGTAATTTATTTTTAAAAACACATCATAACAAATAATGGTTTCAAAGATATGAAGAAACTAGTGTCAGCCTCACCCTCTCCATCTT